TCTTTCATTTCATCAATTCTGCTTTCATTGCTTTTCCCAGAGTTCTTTAGTTCCTCCATTAATTCTTTGATCTCCTGCATTTCTTTTCCTTCCCTCTTTAGGGACTCAATTTCATTCTTCTGATCATTGATTATTTTTCTCATATCATTGTTTTCCTTTATGACTTCTGTCAGTTTTTTAATCATGGCAATTTTAAATTCTCTTTCTGGAAGGCTCAGAAGCTCTTCCAAGTTACTGTCGTTGTAATCTGGGGGCTGGTTGTCTTTTTGTGGTGTGCTTTTTTCCTGAGGAGTTGTTAGGTTGCGTGTGGTTCTTCTACTCCCTACTGTCTGTTTTCTAATTTGTTGTATGCATTGGGACACTGTGTTGCTGGGACTGGCCGGCATCTTGGGTGAGCTTCTCCGCTCCCCTCTGGCTCCTCCAGGAGCCATCTATTGGTTTCAAGCAGTCTTTACTGAAGAAAGGTCCCTGTTCTAAAATGCCAGTGTGGGGACACACTCCCCTATGCACCTGGTCTGCCCCAGCAGTGGGTTCCCGCTCTCCCTCCGGGCTTGGACTGCAGGCCAGAAGGGGCCTGGCGTGGGCAGACTTCCCCGCTCCCCTCTGGCCTCTGAGGGAGCTTTCTGCTGGTTTCAGGCAGTCTTTACTGAAGAAATGTCCCTGTTCTAAAATGGTTATGCGGGACGCACTCCCTGCGTGTTCGGTCTCAGGCACACTCTTCTGCGCGCCTGGTCTGTCCTGGCCGTGGATGCCTGCTCCCCCTGTGGGCTCAGACTGCTGATCAGAAGGGGCCTGGCGTGGGTTAACTTTCCAGCTGGCCACTGGCTCCTCCGGGGCCGTTTTCAAGCAGTCTTTTCTGAAGAAAGGTCCCTGTTCTATGGGGTGTTAGTGACTTTTTTCTGGTTGCTAGGTGGCGCCAGAGATCTCTCCTAATGTCCTTGGGGAGTTGTTTTTTTCACCCTGTGAGACAAGGAACAGAGCGGGAATGGTAGGATAAACCTCAACGGCTTTGGGGTGCTGTGTCTGCCTTGTGCCCCACCATCGTGGAGAACCCACACCCTGAATTTCATGCCCCAGGTCTCAGTTCAAAGCCATCAGGTCCAGGACGCGGGCTGTAGCCCAGTTCAATGACTGCAGAAATGGCGTCTTTTGCACCCCACTCCCGTGCCTGGGCACCTGGTTCCTGATTACTCAGTGAGGGACTTTCACCTCATTGAGGGCCCCCGCCCGTCTCCCCGCAAGCCTAGGTCGCAGGTGCTGGGACCTGGGCAGCCGCGATCCGCGTTTGCTTTTCAAGCGCGCCAAGCGAGCCGCTTTTCCACGCAAGCTTACCAGCTGGCCCGGGGCTGTGTGCAGATCTCCGGGGGTCTCTGTTGTTCTCTAATGGCACCCGGAGCCATTCGCTCACCTCCGCGGCGAATCCTGCATGGTTCTCCACAGCTCCAGTTCAAGGGTGTGGTGGCTGCAATAGTTCCTTTCCACTCACAGTCCCGCTTGATGTGTAGTTTGTTCTTGTTGGTCGTTTTAGTTTGTTTTTTTTCCTCCTTTCTGTTGGTCGGAGAGTGCCGACTTTGTGGTGGGGGAGGGTAGCAGGGTTCTGCACTTTCCTCCCTTCTAGTCCTCTTTTATGGCAACTTTCTTCTTCGGGTAGTTTGCTGGAGTCATCCGTTCATCTTCCGTGTCTCAGTTCTCACTGGGACCTGCCGCTTTTCCTCCCTATTAACTATTTTTTAATGGGAGATCTTACTCACAGCGTCTCCTCGCTGCCATGTTGATCCGCCCCTCTCCCTTCATTAGGAATTTCTAATTGATGATTGCTCCTGAGTTGTAGTAGGGTGACATGTAGAATACAGTTCTGGTCTGGGGGCATCTCTCTGTCTACTTTATCTGATGAGAAAGTGACTTGAGCTTTTAGTTTAGTGAGTAAGCCCCATCCCAGCAAAGGTATCAGTCACTCACGCACATAAAGAAAGCTATGATTCAAGGAAGTTTCTCCAATTTGACAGTCAAGAATTTATTTAAAACAAAAGTTTTTTGAGAATTTTTCCATACACTCCAGTTATTGCTACATTCGCAAGGGACTTTGTCTCATGTTTAAAACAAAGTGGCTTTGATGTCAACCAAAAAGTCTGTAAGTTTTTTCCCACTATCACTGCAGTTACTCACGGTTCCTTTTGGGAAATACTAATAAGATGTATTATCTTCAATGGAATCTTTGGGCCCTATCAATCTTGGTAACTGTCAGTAAACTGAGATATTTGGCAGGTTAGCTCATAAGAGGCCTCCTGTAGGGGCAGGATGGGCCACTGAGCAGGTTTTCTAATGCAGAGACCAGTAAAGGAGAGTCCTGGAGCCCTTGGTGGGTTTCTCAGGCTTTTATTGAGCTTCACGTATAGTGTGGCAAACAGGTACACAGCACACTGCAGGGGTGCCCGGGGGCCAGGAGGCCAGGAGGCCTCCAGGCCCCAGGCAAGTCTTCACTCTGGGTTTCTCTGGCTTCTTTCCCGCCTTCTCTCTCCTGCTTCTGCTTCTCTTGGTGACTATATCAATACCCTCCCAGGGCCCACAGAAGTAAATAAGACAGTTGGCAACAATGTAACAACTGTGGGTGCCCCATCAGGCAGGGCAATCCTAATGGTGGGAGAGCAGAAAAGCCTGAAAAACCATTTACCCTACACCTCCATTCAACATAGGATGACTGGAACACAGTTGCTTCCAGGGGCTTTCCTACTTGCAGTGAGCACATTGTAATGATCCTAGTGGTGGGATACTCTTCTGATTTGACAGTAGGAGCCCCAGGGGTCTTACCCATAGTTCTTTGATCCCATCCAGTGGCATCGACATTAGTCTTGGTCAGTCATGTTTCAATGTGGCTGCCAGCAATACAGCTTGTTGCTTCATCCTATTATTTTTGGTTTTTTCTTTATCTAGTCTCAGTTGTTAAACACTCTAAAGGTAATCTCAACCAATTGAGACATAGACATTGCCGATATTCCTTCCAATTTCTGTAACTTTCCCCATATATGGAAAGTAATTTGTCTAATAAATGTCTTTCGTAACCAATCTTGGCACAGTTACTGGGATGTCAGTACAGACAGGACTTAAACTGAGTTATTGGGTTGATTCTTCTGGTGCCGATCAGCCTTTTTGGGTAGACCATCTTCAAGCCCATGCTGCATTCCTCAGGCATGAAGAGGGTTTTCATGAAAGACTAGATTTACCACTCTTATTAGTGGTAAAAATGGAAGTAAAGAGATTCTCCATCCTCTTTAGATTACACAATATTATTTATCCAATTGAATAATTCACAAATAGAAAAAGGAGAGTATATAGATAAATATCCTCTGGGATTCCTAGATAATCCAATGCTGTGGGGACTTTTCTCAAGGGAAACAGCCTTGCCTATGGTAGAGCATTCCCTAGACTGAATTGTGTGACCTTGAATAACACACAAGGGAAAGATGATTCCCTTCTTGCTATTAGCAGGAAAATGGAATCAGAAGCTCAGACCTTGACTGTGAGTGAATGTAAACAACGTCTGAGCTACTTGCAGTAGCCTTCCTCCAAATAGTGGGGTAGTATATATAGTGTTGTAGGAGAGAACAAGTGAGACAGAACAAGGTCATCATCATCCTGTTTATAATCAGGTAGAGCAATCTATGACTTTTTATAAGGTTCCTTCCTTGAAACCATGATCCTACAGTGCATTTGCAAATACTTAGTTTAAAACAAGGACAGTGGGGACTCCCTGGTGGCACAAGGGCTTAAGACACAGCACTTTGAAGCTATCCCTGGCCAGGGAAGTGACCCATATGGTGCAGCAGACCTCTCTTGTCCACCCACTGTACCCCTCAGCAGTGTATGCTTATGCTTATTATTACAGTAGCCCTGCCTGTTCTGCTCTGGCCTACACACCAGCTCTTGTATGCATAAATAAATAAAATCCTAAAAAATAAGTAAATAAAAAATAAAAATAAACAAAGAGTGATTATACATAGGGGATCTTATCTGACTTCTCTGTTATGTAACAAATATAGCTGCAAAATAGCATTATCATTCAAGGAAACTTTTTTTGGCTATTTTGCCCCTAACTACAGTTGATATTGGAGCCAAACAGTGTTGTAAAGAAAAAAAAAACAAATTTTCATTTTCATGGGTTCAAAACTAAGAAAAGACCAATTCTGAAAGATAAATCCTAAAGCACTGCAGTCAGGTGTACTATTATTTCCCATATTCTTCATACTGAAAGCTTTCACAGTGAACCAAAGCAAGGATTCCCATTGTATGGATGTGTTTTCAGTCTGAAAATCTGGTGCTTGTGTGACTAGTTTCCCAGAGAGTTAACAATAGGCTGGCAATACCCTATTACCTGTCTCAGGGGGTCCTGAACACAAGGTGGTGATGTTGGACTGCCCAAAGTGCTAGGATGTTCAGTCCCTATGTGTACCTCCCAGACAAGTGATTATTAGTCCATTCTGACCAGAAATGGGGTGTATTCTTTGAGTATTTAAGTCTATGAGATCATAGCACATCACAGGTGTAAACTCTAACATTTCCGCCAGATCTCCAGTTTGCTGGAGACACTCAAGAGTGTGGAAGGAAAAATGTGTTTTATCTTTGGAGTCTAAGGATTCTCATGATCTGAGATGCAAATAGACATTTTTTTAGCCACCAGAGGAAATAAGCCTCAAACAGTCAAAATCAAATGAACACACAAAACAATTAAGCATGTACTCACAGGTTTACACTTCCAAAAACTATACCACAACTAAATGAAAATCAAACCAAGAATTTCATAAAGTAACTCTGCTGTTGTCCTTTTGTATTGTCCTTATTTCTTGGAATTCAAAACCAAATTTCCCCCTTGAACCTATTTTTCCTAGCCGAGGAGCAAGACTCTAACCTGTTGGAATTTCACTTTAGGGTGTGACTTAAACCCATAGTCCGTAGGAGACCAATAGAAAAAATAAGATATAAGCACATATCATAAGGTTACTCACTCAAGAAACATGTTTCCAGAATTTCCTCTTCTTTCAAAACAAAAGTAACACTGAGGACCTGGAGGGCTAAAACAGAACAGAAGGAATTCAGTCATCAAGTCTCTAGCCAAATAAGTCTAGGTGGCCACTTGGTATCAGTGATGAGAATCTGGGCTCAACTGGGGCTGCAGGTCCTCAGGCAAGCTGTCAAGAGACCTCGGTCCTAGATCATGGTCCCATCTGGGGTGCCAAGTTTGTTAACTACCAATGACTCATGCATAAAAGCAAATTCTATGACACATTTGACTTTTAAGAAAGGAAAGAGCTTTATTATTACAAGGTCAACTAGCAAGAAGACAGGAAACAAGGCTCAAATATAACTCTCCAATCTAAGGGGTAAGATTAGTATTATAAGGGTCATGGGAGGAAAAAGACTAGAAATAACTTGAAATGATTGGTTAAATAAGAATAGGTCTTCTGTATTGATGGGCTTTTTACTTTAATAAGGGATGACCTATTAGTATATGCTTATCTTTCAGTTTGGCTTAGTTGGATCTGTTGAGAACTTGTGGTTTAACTGCATCTATGGGGAAAAGCCTTAAAATGGAATTTATATAAGATGAATTACAATAGCTCTTACGTAGTCTAACAGTTTGAGAAAAGATTAATCTTGATTTCAATGGTGTTAGACAAAAAAGTAAAATATTTATCTAGAAGAAAGTACTTAACTATGAGTCAAAAGACATGCACGATAGTGCTAGATCCAGTAAAAAAAAATTTCAAATCTGTGGGTTAATTTTATGCCCTTTGTAAATCAGACACTTCAAAAATAATTCCAATCTAAAGTTATGTAATTCCTTTAGCAATTGAAAAATGAACTTTAAATTTCACCATTCATTTTTATTGGCTCTAGCTTTATTTATCTAATATGTCTTTTTTTAATTATGTGTATATAAGCCAACTGTTAATCTATTGAAAATTAGTTAGCAAAGGAGGGTTAGCTTTCAAAAGAGTAAAATGGCTGACCCTGTAACATGATTTGAGCTGCATAGATCACTTATACATGGATTTTCTTATAAACAAATGACATAAACCTATAGAATCAATAAATATAGTACAGAACTGTAAATGTAATTTCTCTTCCTTGTGCTTTTCTCAATAGCATTTTCTTTTCTCTAGCTTACTTTATTGTAAGAATACTGTGTATAATATACACAGATCATGCGAAATATATGTTAACTGTTTACATTATGTAAGACTTCCGGTCATCAACAGGCTATTAGTAGTTAAGTTTGGGGGTATCAAAAGTTCTACAAGAAGACTGGTGCCACCAACCCCTGCATTGTTCAAGGGTTAGTGGTGTATTAGTAACTTAGTTCAATGAATTTCTCTCCAAGTGATAGCACACACTAGAGTTAGGAAGGAAGACTGAATTAAGACTGTCCCTAGACAACTCTCTTAACCTCTCTGAGCTTCATCTCTTCAGCAGTCAGCATAGTGACTTACCTCCTTGGACTGCTTGGAATATTAAATGAGTTCTTACATGTTAAGCAACATGTAAGTGGCAGACACATGGTGTCATTTACATTGGCCATTTTTATAACACACTTAAATTCTAAGGAAAATATTTTTGTTATTAATCAACATATAAGAAATTCTCTGACTCCCATCATTTTGAAGAAAGAGAATTTTTAATTTTGAGAGCAATTAAACAGTCATTCAAAAATAAAATTAACTTTAGAAGATAAAAACATTCATATTTCAACCTGCATATAATTGGATACATGGGTCTTTTTCTTCTGTCATTAGTACAAATATTAGAATAATAATACTTTTTCCTCCATTCATGTAGCATCTATTTCCCCCAAAGAATTTGATGTTTTTCATAAGTATTTTAACTATCTTTACTACAAAATAATCCTAGTTAAAATATGATGTGTTTTATAGGAAACAATAATTATGATGTAGTTTTACAATCTTAAACTTTATTGAGGGAAAAATTATATACACTTTCTTATCTTCAGTATTATTTTTAAAAGCATCACATTTTAAGATAGAATTTACCATTAATTATTATTATTAACAATAATAATGCTAATTATAATGATTAGCCCTTGGCAGCTGCTCAAACAAAGAAACGAGAACCTTAATAAGCTTCTTTGAGTTTAGTATTTTCATGCATCATATAATTTTAAAATACTGAAAATAGATTTAAACACTAGTAATTCTATAATTGTTTCCTTTATAGTGTGGTGACATAATAGATTTCTTTCCTATTTAAGCTGTTCCTTCCAGCTGCACACATAGCAATTATTCAAAACTCTATAATTCATGTTAGACTTAGATACAGAGATTCTAATAAATCTTACTAGAGTTTAGAGTAAAATATATCAATTAACATTGTTAATCTTGACATGTTTTATTATGCTTCTTAATTCAGCTTATTTCAAGCCTAGAGATAAAAAAAAAAATCAAAACACCATGTTAAGAAGAAAACAATCAATAAAAATATCAAAAAATTATTAATTCAAATAAGAAATAAATTGAACCAGTTCTACTAATGTTACACATCCTAGATCTAATCATTTCACCTCCATACCAACTTCACATTTATCAAAGAAGAAACTTTAAATGCTCAATGATTTCAAAGGATAATGGTGAATGATGGCATTCATCTTATAAATTTTGCAAAAAAATTATATACCTTTCTCAATCCTGTTTGACCTGTATTTTTCATATAGCTTCATATGTACATATTTATACATATGTGTGTATATTTCTGTGCTGCTTCTATCCAGACTTATACCTACCATATTCTATTTCATTACATGGAAATAATACAAGTATTTGCTCTTGAATAAATACAATTACTCAATATCATGTTATTCCATGTACCTCATCAAAATTAGTCAATTGAATTTTTAAAAGTTCAAAGTAGGATTTGTGACATACAATGGCTCTCAAATCTTAGTGCCATAAGAATAACCCACACCTTCTAAACCAGCAGAATCATAAGCTAGAGAGACTAAAAGTCCCTTTCACTGTAGGACAAATAAAAATTCTGCATAAAATACAATTTTTGTTACATTGCTCAGCTTACAGGAATTAAGACATAGTAGTTATTTCTGGAGCTCACCAATATCTTCTTATCCTTTCTTTCCTCCACATATGGAAGATTGTATTTCCCAAGACCCGTGCAGATGAGGGAGTCACATAATTTGTTCTAGCCAATAAATAAGAGCTGGATGACAAGGGTCACTTTCCAGTTGATAGAGTAAAGGCTTCCTGTATAATTTTCTATGTTCTCTCTTCTTTTTATATCATGAAGGCAGAGACCTCACAATAAGACAGTGGAATCCTTAGAACAAAGTAACCTGAGTTACTGTCATTGAGGACAGACACCATAGAGATGCAAGTATTCCAATCTGCAGCAGACCTTGTGTAGGTGAGAAATCAACTTTTGCTGTTTTGAAACTTTTGCTGAGATTTTTAGACTTTTTCATTAACACATTGTAGCCTAGCCTATTCCAACTCATTCACTATAGAAAAGTACAATGAGAAAAAATAAGCAGTGACCTACAAACATAGATGAATTGTTGAATTACCCTGGAGATACATATTAATATTAACCTATCTGTCATGAAAGGAAAGGAACAAGTAAAAACATGAGGATTTGGCCAGGGACTCTACAATGGTTTAATGATCACTGATTTTTAGCAGAAACAAACATAATCTTATTTCTACTTATTAAGGTCAACCAAATCACAAAACCAAAAAAAGAAAAGATAAATCGCCATAAATGAGACTCAGTAGAAACAATAAATAATAGGATTGGACACTTAGGAACTTCAAATATCTAAATTATTACCCATAGACTATTAAATACATATATAATGTTCAAATAGAATCACAAAAATTAACAAATGTTAAAAGTACTAAAAATAAAATATATATAAATAAAAACTAATGGCTATTAAGACTAAAATACTTCAAAGAATTATTAGTTTATGTTTTGGGGCAGGAAAGGCACAAAGATCTTATTGTGCGACATCAAAAAGTGACAAAATTGAAGGCAGCAGAAACTTCTATTATACAATATTATTGAAGATGTCAATGCCTTAATCACAATGATCAATAGATGTTAAACAGAAGTTAAACAACATGATAAAACAACTAAATCTAACAGATATACAAAGCACTCTACCCAACAATAGAATGCATTTTTCTCAAGGGCATCTGGGACATTTTCCAGGATAGACCATATGTTGGACCACAAATTAAGTCTGAAAAGATTTTAAAAGAGAGAGTTCATACAAAGTATCTTCTTTTGGATGAAGTTAGAAATCAATAATTTTAAAAAACAGAAAAGCAGAAATTCCACAAATTTTAAAACCAACCCTTTCCCACAGAGCTGAAGCATGCAGTGGGGGAGGGGTGAGACAGTGCCCAGAGGATAATAGGCGCTTTGGTTGTGAGTGCTCCAAGGTGAGCACTTAGGAAGAGATCCTGTACTTCCAAAATACTAGCAACTATGTAAGCCAAAGGTACTTCAATAATAAGTTTCAATAATTTAAAACTTACGGAAATTAAACAGCACACTTTTAAGAATCAATGAATCAAAAAGGAAATCACAAGGAAAATTTGAAAATACTTAGAAATGAATGAAAATAAAAACACAACATACTAAAATTTCTGGGATTAAAAAAAACTTTGCTAAAGGAAATTTTTATAACAATAATTGCTAACATTTATCAAAAAAAAAAAACCCCAACATTTAATTGAGTAAATTTGAAATCTAAGTGATTTTATTAAATGTTTCATGAATGATTAGCATATCATCCAGTAAGGAGAGAGTTACTCTGTGGGGTTATACAACATAGAATGCATTTTTTAAAAAGGCAAGTAGAACCAGAAGTCATCTAAAAGAGAAAAATGACAGTTCATTGGAGGGAAGTAAAAGTTCATGTGAAAAAGGGGCTTCTCATTGAGTTGCAGGAGTTTCCATTAGCTAAGTTGGTGACTAGGCTAGAAGGAAATCTTCCTTCCTGTTTGGGCATTTGTAAGTGGGGTAATGAAGGTCTTCCTGTTTAAGATGAGCAGCGGTAGAACATGAGAGTTTCCTCTACAGGTCTTTCTGATTCATTTTAATATGAGGTTTCCTTCATAAATTTTCACACATTAATAAAAGAAGAATGAGGATCAGAGGAAACAGAGGAAGAAAACAGAATCCTGGCACTAGTGAAAATGGTGCTGCCACCCCTCCATGAAGCCTGAAGATCCCCAAGGTGAAGGCCCCACTGTACCACCACAGAGCTGGACCAGGGGCATTGGGGTGTGAGCAGTTATGAAAACTGCCAGCACTGCCTCAGCTGCCACCTGACAGTGTGGGCCCCTACTCAGAACAAAACAGCACCTCTGACAACCAGGCCCACAGAAGTAAATACTGCACGTGTTGGAATACCTACTGCAGTTGTTGCCCATAAGCCAGCCCAGATCCTTCTGTCCAAGATGCAATGAAAGAGCATTAGCTGGGGGAGTCTCCAGGGCTTCCTGCATTCCTGGTGGTAAGTGTTCTGAAGTTTATGCTGTGCAGTGCCTGATAGTAGAGAAGCACATGGCACTCCAATGAGGTCAAGGCCTTCCAGGACTATAGCATTGATGCTACCCTCATGCCTGTGACTGGGAGCATAGCTCCCAAGAACACAATGGCAGCCAGAACTATAGTACCAACCTTCTTCTAGACCCCCCCTTCATATACACCCCCTAAGTCCCAAAGCCCCCAAGATGGGGCCTTATATTAAGCCTTTTTGCCATCACAGTTGGGGTGGGGGCAGGGGACTGCTTATCCTAAAGATGCTAGGTCAGCTTCCTGTGGGCCTTCCCAGCTCCCAAACTCTCCTTCCTGGTGCCATGATTCCCCCCCACCAAACTCACGGTCATCTCCTCCCAATAAAAGGGTGACACCTACATGGATATGATCAACATTGGGCCTCAGAGCTGCAGAAGTAGCATGTGTACCACACACAGCTACTTCATGGACTCAGGCCTGCCCACCATGAATGTGTATGATTGTGGGTCAGTCCCAATGGCAATTCTATCCCCTAGTTCTCTTCCTCCTCCTCAGAACTACACAGGACTACCAAGAGATGGGCCTCTAACACTTGTCATGCCCAGCACTGGACACCCCATCAACTCCAACTTCACCACTCTGAAGCCAATCTGGCCAGGTGGTGGCAGGGATAGCTCTTAGCTTGCCTTGGCTGGAGAGACCCAAGACCAATCATAAAGATGGAGCCTCACCTTGTGAATGAATACCTGGGCTCAGGATATATAGGCCAGTTACTGAAGAACCACCCCAGAGCTATGACCAGCCTGAGCAACAACTCTTCAAAGAATGACAATGAGGTGGCAACAGCCTGAACCTTTCTGCACCAGTTCTTGAGGGAAAGCAATTTCCCAGGGATGCCCAGGAGCTTGTGGTAGGGCAGCATCTACTATCAGTCTCTGCTTCTGCCCAGGCCCTGTGGGGACCAAAGTTCAGGGCTCTGGTGGTCTGCAAGGTAAGAGTATGAGGTCACACCTCTAGCAACTGGATTTCTAGTCAGGCTTGAAAAGCTGGGGGACCCCTCATAAAGGACTTTTTCACTTTACCAAAAATGCAGGCACCTTGGAGACATTCTCCCTTGAATGGGTCCCTCCTGACATATCTATTTTTTTTAAAGATTTGTATTTATTTATACAAGCACTGGGTACAGTCAGAAGTGCGGGAGGGTGAGAGAATTCACCAGAGCCAGAGCGGGGAGCAGAACAGGCAGACAGACGAAGTACACTGCTGAGGGGAGCAGCAGGCGCTGCAGGAGAGGTCCACGAGCGAAGTGGGACCCTTGCCGGCAGCCGGGGATCAAACCGGTGCTGCAGAGGCTGTGGGCAGCTTCGCAGCCCAGCGCCCAACCGCTGTGCCACCAGGGAGGCCCCTGACATATCTATTTAAGGGAACTTCTCTCCCCCAGTCAGCAAAGGATGGACCCATCAATAAAGGGCCTCCATAATTTAGGGCCTCCCTGGTGACCCAGGGCTATCAAGCTATTGCCAGCCACTGCTGCACAAGTTTGATCCCCGGCCAGGGAGATAACCCCCATGGCGTAGCAGACCTCTCCTATCTCACCTGCTGCTCCTCTTGGCAGTGTATTTCAGTAGATCCACCTGTTCTGCTCCCCAGTCTGTTTCCGGTGAATCCTCTCACCCTCCGCACCTCTGGCCTACACCTCAGTTCCCATGTGCATAACTAAATTTTTAAAAATATTTAAAAAAAATAAAGGTAGGACCTCCCCTGGTGGCGCAGCGGTTGAGCGCTGGGCTGCGAGGCTGCCTGCAGCCTCTGCAGCGCCAGTTCAATTCCCGGCCACCAGGGAGGATCCCACATGGTGCGCAGACCTTTCCAGCCACCCACTGCTCCCCTCAGCAGTGTACTTTGGTCCTTCTGCCTGTTCTTCTCCCCGCTCTGGCGCTGGTGAATTCTCTCACCCTCCCGCGCTTCTGACTGTACCCAGTGCTTGTATGAATGAATAAATAAATAAATCTTTAAAAATAAATAAATAAATGTAATTTGGTTTTGGTTTCTGGTTTTAAAAAGAGGAAAGGATAAAAAAAGGTGCCAAATCAACAACCTAACTTTACAATATAAGAAACTGGAGAAAGAGCAAACTAAACCCAGAATTAGCAGAAGGAAGGAAATAAAAATTAGAGCAGAGATTAATTAAATAGAAAGGAGAAAAACAAAGGAAAATTAATGAAACAAAAAGTTTGTTCTTCAAATAAATCAACAATTTTGACAAACTTTTAGCAAGAAAATGAAAAAAGAGAGAGAAGACTCAAATTACTAAAATGAAAAATGAAAATGAGGACATTGCTACTAATCCTACAGAAATAAAAGGCTAAATAAGAGAGTATTATGAACAATTATACACCAACAAATTATATAACCTAGATGAAATGGAAAAACATCTAGAACACAAACTTTATGAAGACTAACATACAAAGAAATAGAAAATCTGAATAGACCTATAACTAGTAAGGATATTGAATAAAATAATCAAATATATTCCAACAAAGAAAAGCCCTAGATCTGATGTTTCACTGATGAATTCTACCAAACATTTAAAAAAGAACTAACAACAATCCCTTTTGAGATTTTTCAAAATATGAAAGAGGTAAAAATAACATTTCCTGATTCAATTTATGAGGCCAATATTTGACAAAGACACTACAAGAAAAGAAAACTACAGACCAATGT